AGGTGTAGAATTTTAGAAAAATTATTTACTTTATTTTCTCATATATTTTATATTGTTATAGACAGGGAATATATACAGAATTTCTATATACAAATAAAAAAATTACTCTTATAATAGTGATTCTAATTGATTACATTATTATAAGAAAAATTACAAGAAGAATTATACAAAAAAAAATATCTCAACTAATTAAGTAATAAAATATTTTAATCACACTCCCCCTCAAGTTGGTACAAAAATATCACACATACCCCGCTTGTAGATCAAGTTATGAAAAGAATTATTGTAAAATCTTTTAATGAAGATATCTGTCACCTAATCGTTAGAACGAACATGATATAAGTATAAGAAGCCATCAGCTATTTTTTCTTTTATGAAATGATGATCTGTCTCAATATGTTTTATGTGGTCATGTTGAACTGAATTATGAGAAAGGCTAATGACTGCTTTATTTTCACAAAACAATGATAGGCTTTATTTTTTAAACAGTTTTAATTCTTTCATTAGATTTTGCAAGCATAATAATTCACATACCCTTTGAACCATTACTCTATATTCTATTTCAGCACTGGAGTAGACAACTACACTACGCTTCTCACTTTTTCATTACCAAGTTACTTCCTACAAGTGTGCAGTAACAAGTAGTTGACCTTCTATCATTCGGAAATCCAGCCCAATCAGCAGGTGTAAATGATTTTATCTTAAGGTGGTCATTTCTAGAGAAAAACAGACATTTTTCTAGTGCAAATTTTAATTATCGCAATATGCAAAAGACAGCATGTAAATGAGTTTTGCAATGAACATACATGTACTGACTCATCAAGCTATATACTATATCGGATCTGATATTTGAGAGATAGATGAGTCTTCCAACCAATCTCTAATATCTTCCCAAGTCAACTGATATACCACTACCCACTTGTAGTTTGTGATTGTTTTCAATGGGAGATTATGTCGGGTTGTAACTCATCATACTAGTTTTCTCCAGTAAGTTTAGGATATTCTTTATTTGAGAAATAAAAATAGTTTTATTAGATTTGGTAACTTCAATTCTCAAGAAATACTGCAATTTTTTTAAATCCTTTATTTCAAACTCTTGAGAAAGAAGTTTTTTCAATTGGGGTATGTCATTTGAATCATCTTCAGTCACCACAATATCATCTATATAAATAATGAAAATAGTGATTATAATCCAAGTATTAGGAGTGGAAATAAGAGGAAGAGGAGCAATATCTGATTTTACCATATTTGATGCACTAATAGTTGATGAAGAGTTAAGTTGAGACAGAATACGTTTCGGGATTTGAATCTCTTCTCCCACAACTTCTAGTTGGTTGTCCATACAATTTCCAGTAAGTTTCCTTAGTATTTCTCGATTTGCCACAATAGTCACAATTTTGTTGAAATTTGCATTGATCAGATTGAGCAACTAATCAAGTTTTCTCAGCTGGTGTTATGTGAAGTATGACATTTCTTCAACTTTTTTCTTGATGGACATAAGAATAAATTTGTTTTAATGAGGAAGAGGATTCCTATTAATTACTTAAACCCGTATCTGATCATATTTGGTGTTAAGACTAATCAAGAAATCATAAATCTACTCCTCTATCAGTTTTTGAAATATGACTGCATCTCTAGAGCAATCTACTTGAAAATTTTAATAGTAATTTAACTCCTACCATAATTCACTGAGTTCAGAAAAATATTGAAAAATAATTAATTCTCTTTATTTTGTGATATGAATCTCATTTTGAAGTTTATAAATTTGAGCGTCATTACCCACTTGTGAATATGTAAGAGATATTGCATTCTATATTTTTGTTGCAGTATTGAGCAACAGATATATTCGAGTAATATGAAGTTTCATAGAATTAATGAGTCAAAACATTACTAAGGATTTTTCTGAGTTCCATCTATTATATTCCAAACTACTGACATATGATTTCTTCTATCACTAGTAATGTAACATTGCAATTCTCTAAATTTGATAAACAATAAATAATTATCTTGAGCAGACAAGATAATTAGTTTCATCAAAGTTTACGGGAATAATTTGTAATAACAGGTTGACCGAATTAAGAACAATCAAAATTTTTTTTGGTCATTTTAGAGTACTAGAAATAGGAAAAAAATAATACCCAATAGTTAATTTTACAAGAATATAACATACCTTATAACCAGCACTAACAAAGGTAAAAAACACTGCGAGACTGGAGATCACCAGAGGCAAGTGTCTCCGGCAAGGCAGAAGAACCAGAGCCTGTTCTAAGAGACACAAATTCGGAGCCGGAGATAGATGCTAGACGCGAGTCGTGGGAAGAGAAATCATGACCAGATCGGGTGGACCTGTTGGTGCGAGGCGCAACAAGATCGTGCGGCTGGGAGAACAAAGATCGCACACGGCCGCGTGAAGGAGACATGCTAGTGCAACGTGACCAGATCGCGTGGCGGAGGAAACCAAACGGAACAGAGAGGAAGCGTCGAATCTGTGAAGCCATTCCCGTGCGCGAAACTAGATGGGTTGTGTTTTCCCGTGCGCAGAAGCAGTTGGGTCATGCATGAAATTGGGTCAGAGAAGGTATTCCTGTGTGCGATACGAGATCAGAGAAGGATCGGGAGAAGCCGAGGCGGTAGCCGGAGAAGAGACAACACGATTTCGAGTTGGATTACAGACTTTCTAGCAACGCGTGTGGCTCATATGCTCGAAAATCGGTCACCAGAGTACAGCGGCAGGCCGACAGTGAGGTTATGACTCCGTTTGGGTGGGTGGCGAGAGTATTTTAAAGTTTGAAAGAAACCCTAAAATTAAAGCCCTAAAACACCTTTATTTTGCTCTGATACCATGTAAAATTTTGGAAAAAGTATTTACTTTATTTTCTTATATATTTTATGTTATTATAAACGGGTATATATACAGAATTCTTATATACAAATATGGAAATTACCTTTATAGTAGGTGGAAAAAAATTGATAGAGAAAGAAAAGTAAGAGAGAATTGTTTCTCTTATTTTCTGATTATGACATATTACATATATATAGAGAGAGAAAAAAAACATAAAATCAGACTAACAATAAATCCCATAAAATTTGTGATTTATTCAAATCTCATGAAATTTAGGATTTATTTTAAACTTTCATATTTAAAAAACAAATCCTAACTTTTCAAACTTATCTCTGCCGACACTACCCCTCAAGTTAGTGCAAATATGTCTATCATAACCAACTTGCTCACTTGATTTTCAATGGTTGACTCAAAGTCTTTTGGGTTAATATGTCTGCAATCTGCTGTTA